ATCCTTTGAAAACAGTCATGTTCTCCCCATCAGTCGGTACAGCAACCTACAGATATGATATGAAATACCTTAGATGAAAACCTGACCAGGCAATCACACAAGTTTTAGTTTTCTAATCACACACCAACCCAAACCCGAAAGTCTAAAAATCAAGGAAACGACAAACATGGACATCCCCGTTGGCTCCGAATGCGATGTAAGTGTCGGAATCCGAAGATGCCACTGACATCGGTTTGAAATCATCTATAAGTGGAAGTATAAGGGTAGAAAATGAGCACGGCTCTAGAGTTTCATCTCAACTAAAACTATATATTATAACTATAACTAATGTATTCTATCCCTTACATCGCAAGGTGTGGTAGGAAGGTCCATCGTTACGCCGTTGATCGGTGAAGGTTTTCCCGAGTTCGAGCATGTATGACCCGGGAGGGATGTCCTTCGTCTCAGCCATATCCTACCCTGAATCAATAAGAGTCAAATTTTTTAAAGAATAAGATCATGCAATACTGACGAGTAGGAGCAGACGACAGTAAATGGGGATAACTTCGAAAGTGACACAGAGACAGCCTCCGATAGAGACAGGACTCATGAGTAAAAGAGACAGAATTGATAGCCCAAGCTCGGAGTCTAAAAGATCACTCCTTCTCATGTCACTGAAAGAAAATGTGGGAAGCAACATTTCCTTAGTCATTTATTGATAATCAAGGCCATATTTCATCTCCCTTCGAGAAGAGGAATCCACCTCCTTGTAAGGTATTCCCTCAAGATTCTCACGCTCGGTGGAAGATACCGGCGCGGTGCTAGGGCTGCGTTCATAGATTGCGTCGGAAGAATAAGGGAATCGGCGATTCGTCGTTTCAGGAGAACGCTCGCTAGAGGAAATCTCCGACCTGCGATATGGGAGAATAGCAGAATCGTCAATTCGACGTAGTGGAAGGACGCTGGTTCGCCGAACACATTGGATCGCCAACGGCCAGTCTATCGCTTCCATCCACTACCTCACTTTGAAGAGAAAGAGTGAAGAGACCGTACAAAAGCCAACGACTGTTAAAATGAAAACTGTACACTATCCCAGCGGATCCTGATCCTTGCCATGCGTGACGTCAATGGGCCCGCAGTAGCAGTAACGGTGCCATTTCCTCCGGCTCGGAAAGGGACTGGAGAATACTGATATGCGGGTTGATGCTCCCTCACGACTTCGCCCCGCGAGGAACGGCCAGCCACACGCTTAGACTGCGTTCATAGCTTGCGACGACGTTGCGGTCGCATCTATTCCTACAGCGTCCGCGCAACGCGTGTCGACCGCGGCGCTCCTGGCATTTTGCCATTCTTTGGTGATTCACGCTTCCAATAGCGATTAGAACGCGAACCTCGCTGAGCGGGACTTCAATTGAAGATCAGTTAGTTGTTTCAAAGTTGCATGCCTTTCGCAATTGCGCTTCAATGAGAAGAACGTGAATTGAAGAGCAGTTAGCCAGTTTCAGAGACCCATACACAACGCAAGCGCATTTGAACGAGAAGGACAGAAAGCATTTGCAGGTAGTAACTGGTAATAGGTAACACATGAAAATTGCACTGCATGACGCTCTTCCTGCATAGGAAGAGCGTCATGCAGTGACACGAGGACGTATCTGCATATATGGGTACTATTCAACTATTATTACCTAAGAAAAAAGGACTGCTGAAACTTTGCCTATACGGATTACTCGATGCCCTGATCAGAAGTATGACATTCGCTTCGCGCATTTAAGCGCCAGTAGGCGCCGACTTAACACCAACACTTTCCTACCAATGGCGATGTA